TCTGCCTAAAGGAAATCATGTACTTAATGCTTTGCTGCACTGAGGTCTCCATGGGGCCCTGTCTTTCTCTATCATTTGCAAACAAGCATGCACTCTGCGATATTATATCTGCAGAGTGCTCTCTCTTCCCATACCTGATGGTGCTCTGCAGGCTCCCAGAATGCGGAGTTGGAGTGGGCTGGGAAGCCCAGCTGGCAGGGCTTCTTTGGCTAATACCATCCCAAATTTATATAGAACTTTTAGTTAATACAGCTCCCCTTTGTGGGGGAGGGTCTGGGGCTAAACCCTTAGCAGTAGCACCCCACTGGAGTCACAATCCCAAGGAAGCAATGGAGGTCCTAGAATTGCTATGAAGGCACAGAACCCCTACACAAATGGCCCTGGGCTCCCAGTCACATGAGCAGAACCACCAGTTTCTTTTGTAGTTTCTTTCTACCTCCCACTCCACCATCCCCAGGGGAAGAATTCCCTAGGCAGCTCCATACTGGAGTTTCCCCTCACCTATGCAGGTTATTCATGTGTAAAGGAGGAGACTGTGCTAAAATAAAGCTGTATTGGGAGAGAAAAAAAAGAAACAGCCACTGAAAAATCCTTCACCTCTCTCTTTCACATTGATTCAACAAGCTAACAGGCAATTAGCTGCTGCAATGGTACACTGCTCCCTAGAAGAAGCACTTCAAGACATCACAAACATCCCATCTGATTATTAAAGAGCAAAGATGCCAGCACATTGGCCAGTTCTTTTGCAGTTTGACCTCTGAGTTCTACATTTTCTGCCAACAAGCACACCTACCAAATGTATGTTTAGCACAGCAAGAGACATTATAATTGAAACAAGATACAGAGAGATGTCAAAAAATGTAGAATGGCTTTCATATTAAAAAGTTAACCTGCACTGATTTACTGTACTCACATAACCTTTCTGAAAAATAAATCACACAAATGTAATTAAGAAAACAAGTGGATCAAGTAAGTCAACAGCAGAACATTGTGTGGGAGAGCCAGAACATTGTATTATTATATCTATTTATGGATTAAGCAGGACTGTCTATTGTTCTCCCTCTTTCAAAAAACTGTCCCTTATCCTTTGCATGCAGGGTAGTATAGCCATGTCAGTCCCAGGTTATTAGAGAGACATGGTGGATGAGTTAGTAGCTGTTACTGGACCAACTTTTGTTGGTGAGTGACAAACTTTTGAGCCACACAGAGCTCTTCCTTCACATACTCCCAGCATCTGCAAAATGCAAGATGGAACAGATTGTTGGCATACTGTAGTTCGCACATACACTAAGGGTATGTCTACACTACGGAATAAGGTCGAATTTATAGAAGTCGGTTTTTTAGAAATCGGTTTTATAAATTCGAGTGTGTGTGTCCCCACAGAAAATGCTCTAAGTGCATTAAGTGCATTAACTCGGCGGAGCGCTTCCACAGTACCGAGGCAAGCGTCGACTTCCGGAGCGTTGCACTGTGGGTAGCTATCCCACAGTTCCCGCAGTCTCCGCTGCCCATTGGAATTCTGGGTTGAGATCCCAATGCCTGATGGGGCTAAAACATTGTCGCGGGTGGTTCTGGGTACATATCGTCAGCCCCCCGTTCCCTCCCTCCCCCTGTGAAAGCAAGGGCAGACAATCATTTCGCGCCTTTTTTCCTGAGTTACCTGTGCAGACGCCATACCATGGCAAGCATGGAGCCCGCTCAGGTAACCGTCACCCTATGTCTCCTGGGTGCTGGCAGACGCGGTACGGCATTGCTACACAGTAGCAGCAACCCCTTGCCTTGTGGCAGCAGACGGTACAGTACGACTGGTAGCCGTCATCGTCATGTCTGAGGTGCTCCTGGTCGCCTCTGTGAGGTCGATCAGGAGCGCCTGGGCAGACATGGGCACAGGGACTAAATTTGGAGTGACTTGACCAGGTCATTCTCTTTAGTCCTGCAGTCAGTCCTATTGAACCGTCTTATGGTGAGCGGGCAGGCGATACGGACTGCTTGCAGTCGTACTGTACCATCTTCTGCCGAGCAGCCATGAGATGTGGATGGCATGCAGTCCTTCTGCACCGTCTGCTGCCAGCCAAAGATGTAAAAGATAGATGGAGTGGATCAAAACAAGAAATAGACCAGATTTGTTTTGTACTCATTTGCTTCCCCCCTCCCCTGTCTAGGGGACTCATTCTTCTAGATCACACTGCAGTCACTTACAGAGAAGGTGCAGCGAGGTAAATCTAGCCATGTATCAATCAGAGGCCAGGCTAACCTTCTTGCTCCAATAAGGACAATAACTTAGGTGCACCATTTCTTATTGGAACCCTCCGTGAAGTCCTGCCTGAAATACTCCTTGATGTAAAGCCACCCCCTTTGTTGATTTTAGCTCCCTGAAGCCAACCCTGTAAGCGCCCCTCCCAGCGTCAGAGCAATGGCAAACAATCGGGCATCTGAGAGTGCTGTCCAGAGCAGTCACAATGGAGCACTCTGATGGGGCTAAAACATTGTCGCGGGTGGTTCTGGGTACGTGTCGTCAGGCCCCCGTTCCCTCCCTCCCTCCGTGAAAGCAAGGGCAGACAATCATTTCGCGCCTTTTTTCCTGAGTTACCTGTGCAGACGCCATACCACAGCAAGCATGGAGCCAGCTCAGGTAACCGTCACCCTATGTCTCCTGGGTGCTGGCAGACGCGGTACGGCTTTGCTGCACAGTAGCAGCAACCCCTTGCCTTCTGGCAGCAGACGGTGCAATACGATTGGTAGTCGTCCTCATCGTGTCCGAGGTGCTCCTGGCCGCGTCGGCTGGGAGCGCCTGGGCAGGCATGGGCGCAGGGACTAAATTTGGAGTGACTTGACCAGGTCATTCTCTTTAGTCCTGCAGTCAGTCCTATTGAACCGTCTTATGGTGAGCGGGCAGGCGATACGGACTGCTAGCAGTCGTACTGTACCATCTTCTGCCAGGCAGGCAAGAGATGAGGATTGCTAGCAGTCGTATTGCACCATCTTCTGCCAGGCAGGCAAGAGATGGGGATGGCTAGCAGTCGTACTGTACCATCTTCTGCCGAGCAGCCATGAGATGTGGATGGCATGCAGTCCGTCTGCTGCCAGCCAAAGATGTAAAAGATAGATGGAGTGGGTCAAAACAAGAAATAGACCAGATTTGTTTTGTACTCATTTGCCTCCTCCCCTGTCTAGGGGACTCATTCCTCTAGGTCACACTGCAGTCACTCACAGAGAAGGTGCAGCGAGGTAAATCTAGCCATGTATCAATCAGAGGCCAGGCTAACCTCCTTGTTCCAATAACAACGATAACTTAGGTGCACCATTTCTTATTGGAACCCTCCGTGCAGTCCTGCCTGAAATACTCCTTGATGTACAGGCACCCCCTTTGTTGATTTTAGCTCCCTGAAGCCAACCCTGTAAGCCGTGTCGTCAGTCGCCCCTCCCTCCGTCAGAGCAACGGCAGACAATCGTTCCGCGCCTTTTTTCTGTGCGGACGCCATACCACGGCAAGCATGGAGCCCGCTCAGCTCACTTTGGCAATTAGGAGCACATTAACCACCACACGCATTATTCAGCAGTATATACAGCACCAGAACATGGCAACGCGATACCGGGCGAGGAGGCGACGTCAGCGCGGTCCCGTGAGTGATCAGGACATGGACACAGATTTCTCTGAAAGCATGGGCCCTGACAATGCATGCATCATGGTGCTAATGGGGCAGGTTCATGCTGTGGAACGCCGATTCTGGGCTCGGGAAACAAGCACAGACTGGTGGGACCGCATAGTGTTGCAGGTCTGGGACGATTCCCAGTGGCTACGAAACTTTCGCATGCATAAGGGCACTTTCATGGAACTTTGTGACTTGCTTTCCCCTGCCCTGAAGAGCATGAATACCAAGATGAGAGCAGCCCTCACAGTTGAGAAGCGAGTGGCGATAGCCCTGTGGAAGCTTGCAACGCCAGACAGCTACCGGTCAGTTGGGAATCAATTTGGAGTGGGCAAATCTACTGTGGGGGCTGCTGTGATGCAAGTAGCCCATGCAATCAAAGATCTGCTGATATCAAGGGTAGTGACCCTGGGAAATGTGCAGGTCATAGTGGATGGCTTTGCTGCAATGGGATTCCCTAACTGTGGTGGGGCTATAGACGGAACCCATATCCCTATCTTGGCACCGGAGCACCAAGCCGCCGAGTACATAAACCGCAAGGGGTACTTTTCGATAGTGCTGCAAGCTCTGGTGGATCACAAGGGACGTTTCACCAACATCAACGTGGGATGGCCGGGAAAGGTGCATGATGCTCGCATCTTCAGGAACTCTGGTCTGTTTCAAAAGCTGCAGGAAGGGACTTTATTCCCAGACCAGAAAATAACTGTTGGGGATGTTGAAATGCCTATATGTATCCTTGGGGACCCAGCCTACCCCTTAATGCCATGGCTCATGAAGCCATACACAGGCAGCCTGGACAGTGGTCAGGAGCTGTTCAACTACAGGCTGAGCAAGTGCAGAATGGTGGTAGAATGTGCATTTGGACGTTTAAAGGCGCGCTGGCGCAGTTTACTGACTCGCTTAGACCTCAGCGAAACCAATATTCCCACTGTTATTACTGCTTGCTGTGTGCGCCACAATATCTGTGAGAGTAAGGGGGAGACGTTTATGGCGGGGTGGGAGGTTGAGGCAAATCGCCTGGCTGCTGGTTACGCGCAGCCAGACACCAGGGCGGTTAGAAGAGCACAGGAGGGCGCGGTACGCATCAGAGAAGCTTTGAAAAACAGTTTCATGACTGGCCAGGCTACGGTGTGAAAGTTCTGTTTGTTTCTCCTTGATGAACCCCCCCGCCCCTTGGTTCACTCTACTTCCCTGTAAGCTAACCACCCTCCCCTCCTCCCTTTAATCATTGCTTGCAGAGCCAATAAAGTCATTGTTGCTTCACATTCATGCATTCGTTATTCATTCATCACACAAATAGGGGGATGACTACCAAGGTATCCCAGGAGGGGTGGTGGAGGAGGGAAGGAAAATGCCGCACAGCACTTTAAAAGTTTACAACTTTAAAATTTATTGAATGATAGCCTTCTTTTTTTGGGCAATCCTCTGTGGTGGAGTGGCTGGTTGGCCGGAGGCCCCCCCACCGCGTTCTTGGGCGTCTGGGTGTGGAGGCTATGGAACTTGGGGAGGAGGGCGGTTGGTTACAGAGGGGCTGCAGTGGCAGTCTGTGCTCCAGCTGCCTTTGCTGCAGCTCAACCATACACTGGAGCATACTGGTTTGGTCCTGCAGCAGCCTCAGCATTGAATCCTGCCTCCTCTCATCACGCTGCCGCCACCTTTGAGCTTCAGCCCTGTCTTCAGCCCACCACTTACTCTCTTCAGCCCTCCACCTCTCCTCCCGGTCATTTTGTGCTTTCCTGCACTCTGACATTATTTGCCTCCACGCATTCGTCTGTGCTCTGTCAGTGTGGGAGGACAGCATGAGCTCGGAGAACATTTCATCGCAAGTGCGTTTTTTTTTCTTTCTAAGCTTCACTAGCCTCTGGGAAGGAGAAGATCCTGTGATCATTGAAACACATGCAGCTGGTGGAGAAAAAAAAAGGGACAGCGGTATTTAAAAAGACACATTTTATAAAACAGTCGCTACACTCTTTCAGGGTAAACCTTGCTGTTAACATTACATACATAGCACATGTGCTTTCGTTACAAGGTCGCATTTTGCCTCCTCCCACTGCGTGAACGGATTTTGGTTGAATGCCAGCAAACATACACTGCAATGCTTTGTTCTACAGTGATTCCCCAGTACGTGTTGCTGGCCTGGAGTGGTAAAGTGTCCTACCATGAAGGACGAAATAAGGCTGCCCTCCCCAGAAACCTTTTGCAAAGGCAGAACCGCAAATGCCAGGGCAAAGTAATCCTTTCACATGCTTGCTTTTAAACCATGTATAGCATTTTAAAAGGTACACTCACCAGAGGTCCCTTCTCCGCCTGCTGAGTCCAGGAGGCAGCCTTGGGTGGGTTCGGGGGGTACTGGCTCCAGGTCTAGGGTGAGAAACAGTTCCTGGCTGTCGGGAAAACCGGTTTCTCCGCTTGCTTGCTGTGAGCTATCTACAACCTCCTCATCATCATCTTCTTCGTCCCCAAAACCTACTTCCGTATTGCCTCCATCTCCATTGAAGGAGTCAAACAACACGGCTGGGGTAGTGGTGGCTGAACCCCCTAAAATGGCATGCAGCTCATCATAGAAGCGGCATGTTTGGGGCTCTGACCCAGAGCGGCTGTTCGCCTCTCTGGTTTTCTGGTAGGCTTGCCTCAGCTCCTTCAGTTTCACGCGGCACTGCTTCGGGTCCCTGTTATGGCCTCTGTCCTTCATGCCCTGGGAGATTTTCAGAAAGGTTTTGGCATTTCGAAAACTGGAACGGAGTTCTGATAGCACGGATTCCTCTCCCCAAACAGCGATCAGATCCCGTATCTCCCGTTCGGTCCATGCTGGAGCTCTTTTGCGATTCTGGGACTCCATCATGGTCACCTGTGCTGATGAGCTCTGCATGGTCACCTGCAGCTTGCCACGCTGGCCAAACAGGAAATGAGATTCAAAAGTTCGCGGTTCTTTTCCTGTCTACCTGGCCAGTGCATCTGAGTTGAGAGCGCTGTCCAGAGCGGTCAGAATGGAGCACTCTGGGATAGCTCCCGGAGGCCAATACCATCTAATTGTGTCCACAGTACCCCAAATTCGAGCCGGCAACGTCGATTTAAGCGCTAATCCACTTGTCAGGGGAGGAGTAAGGAAATCGATTTTAAGAGCCTTTAAGTCGAAATAAAGGGCTTCATTGTGTGGACGGGTGCAGGTTTAAATCGATTTAACGCTGCTAAATTCGACCTAAAGTCCTAGTGTAGACCAGGGCTAATATGTGTAGTTAGCATATATTGTAAGGGACCATTCAAGGTAGAGTGTCCTGTTAACACATCTGTGGATTTCTTGTATATAGTTGTCTGTAAGAGATCACCTCGCCTACTTTCCTAACTCCAGGAACTACCCCAAACACTCCCAAGAAGTCTGTTATCTACCGCCAGGCACTAACGGCTAGTCTACACTAGAAGCGCTACAGCTGTGCCGCTGTAGTGCGTCTGGCGAAGACACTCTCTGCCAACGGGAGAGAGTTCTGCTGTTGGCAAAATAAATGCACGTCCCAGAGACACAGTAGCTATGTCCACAGTGGCGCTTAGGACAGTGTAACTTATGTCGCTCAGGGGGATGGCTTACTCACACCCCTGAGTGACGTAAGTTATACCAACATAACCTTTAGTATAGACAGACCCTCAGCTACCACGGACTATGCTCTGAGAAGAAAGTCTGGGATATTGGGATATACATCTTCACACACTTAGAACTGCCTTCACCAAACAAGGGCAGTACTCCACCAGAGAAGTAGATCGCGTCACGGAATGAGCAACATAGATACCCTAAGAGAACCTGCTTCAATACAGAAATAAACCTCCCCAACACCCATACTCAATGGGGACCCCACCCTGAAATAAATCTTTCCTGAACCCCCACTTCTGGCCTTCAGACAACCTCTCCAAGCTGATAATCAGATGTAAGCTTCCCACAGACCAGGACAAACCAAAATTTGATCAAAGGAGCAACAAACCCTGCCAGAACAACAGTTGCAAAATGTGCAGACATTTCTACTACGATGATCAACACCCCCCCCCCGACACATCTTCCAAGATTCATAGATCATACACATGATCATCACAACATGTGGTATAACTCATCCAGTGCATTAAATGCCCCAACAACTACTATGTAGGTGAAACCAAACAATCACTACACTCACACAGGAAAATGATAAAAGACAAAAACACCCTTTCACCTGTGAGTGAACACTACACAAAGCGATCACTCAATATTTGACCTCCAGTCCTTATCCTCAAAGGAAAACTGCACAACACTTTCAAAAGATGAGCCTGGGAGCTTAAATTCATTTATCTGCTAGACACTAAAAATCATGGACTGAACAGAGACACTAGATTTATAGCTTATTATCACAATTTGTAACCCAAACCACCTCTTTTTGTCCTATGATTGCAGAGGTGTTAACAGGCCACTTATCTTGAATGGTCCCATATAATATGTGCTAACTATTTGTACTAAACTATCTGTTCCACCTTTAATTTTGCTGTGACCTTGGGAGTACCTTTCCCAGACCTGAAGAAGAGCTGTGTGTGTGTGTGGCCCAAAAGCTTGTGTCTCTCACCAACAGAATTTAATTCAATAAAATAGATTACCTCATTCACTAGATCTAATCCTGACACCCTTACTCAATCAAGACTTCCACTGAAGTCAAAGGAAGTCTTAATGGAGTATGTTTTCTTGTCACTGGATTAAATGTGCCTTGGGATGTTTAACATCTAAAAAACACTTCCATTTTTATTTTTTAAATGTTTGTGTGTTCAAAAGGGTGAGGCACAGGAGATTATACAACTGACTGAACAGGCACAGAGTAGGCATAAAAACAAGAACAGACATGTTGGATCAGACCAATGGTTCATCTAGCCCAGTATCCTGTCGCAAACAGTGGCCAGTGCCAGATGCATCAGAGGAAATGACCAGAACAGGGCAATTTCGAGTGATCCATCCCCATTGTCCAGTGCCAGCTTCTGGCAGTTGGACTATTTTCCATGAACTTATCTAATACTTTTGGCCTTCACAACATCCCAGAACGACAACTTCCATAGGTTGACTGCGTGTTGCATGAAGTAGTACTTGGTTTTAATCCTGCTGCTATTAATTTCATTGGGCGACCCCTAGTTCTTTTGTTGCGTGAAAGGATAAATAAGACTTCCCTATTCACTTTCTCCACACCATTCATGATTCATGACCTCTATCCAATCCCCCTTTAGTTATCTATTTTCTAAGATGACCAGGCCCAGTCTATTTAATCTTCTCTCATACAGAAGCTGTTTCAGACCCCTAATCTTTTTTGTTACTCTTCTCTGCACCTTTTCCAGTTCTAATATCTTTTTCTTTTTTTAAATGGGGCAACCGAAACTGGACACAGTATTCAGAGTAGCAGCTGTGTTAGTCTGTATTCGCAAAAAGAAAAGAAGTACTTGTGTACTTGTTCACAGTGTAGACCTACCGTGGATTTAGATAGTGGCATTATGATATTTTCTCTTTTATTATCTATCCCTTTCTAATCATTCCTAACATAGTTAGTTTTTTGTTTTTCAAACACTACTGCTGCACATTGAGTGGATGTTTTAAAAGAACCATCCATGACGACTCCAAGATCTCTTTCTTGAGTGGTAACAGCTAATTTAGACCCCATCTTTTTTTGTGCATAGTTAAGGTCATTCAGTCATCCATTTTAGTGAGATCCCTTTGAAAGGCTTGTTTGAAAGATGTTTGCTCAGTAGGGCTTGCTGACTTTTTTTTCTCCAATACTGTTTTTTCCACACACAAAAAATGTGTTCTCAAACAAATGTATTTTGCACAAAAGGGTCTGCTTTCCACAAAAAAATTTTCTGTCAAAAATCCAACACCCCAAAACAGAAAATGTTTTGATTTTCAGACAAAACAAATAATATTTTGGCCAAAAATGGAAATATTGCTATTTGGATATGCTGCTGCAGTGCATTATGTGAGCTGTAGTTCACTTGCCTCATTTCCCTATTTTTTTCCTATGAATTAGGCTCTCAGGCAGAACTTCATCTCCCATGGAGAAATTTAGCCACCGGACACCCATGTCCTTCCCCTCACTCAGAGGAGAGACTGGAGTGCATCATGGATATGTAGTTAGACCAGGGAGCTCAGCCTATAAACGAGAATGATAGAATGAGGCCACTGAACTACAATTCTTATAAAACATCACAGTAGCATTTCCAAATTGAAATATTCAGTTTTCAATTTTTCCATAGGGAAAAAAAATATTCTGACCAGCTCTTTTCCACAGTAAAATGTATGGCCTTCAGTTACCTCAGAAGGATGAAAAACTGAGTCTAATCCTGCTGAGATTAAAATCTTTGGTTTCAGAGATTCAAGGTATTTCAAACTCCCCATCTTCACCTTGGGAAAGGTTTTAATCTCGACTTTTTGATCTGAGAATCTCAATAATGGTCCCAACCTGGTATCACTAATCACTCTAAAGTTGGGGACAGAATCTGGAGACTAACTGAATGGCCTGGATCTCATCTGTGTTTCAACCTAAAGCAATTCTATTCCACAAAAACACTCTACACCCATGAGAAGGGATTTTGTTCAGCTATGCTTTCAACCCACTAGCTGTACAATTCAACTACTCAGTATTTGTGTTTATTCTATGGGTCTGTCTATGGGAGAGCTCTCCCATCGGCATAAAACAAAAACAAAAAACCCACCTCCGTGAACGGTAGAAGCTAGGTCTGTGGGAGAAGCTCTCCTGCTGACATAGCACTGTGCACACAAGCGCTTACATCTGGGTAACTTAAGTCGCTCAGGAGGTTGCAATATTCACCCCCAAGTGACATAAGTGTTGCCAACATAGGCTGTAGCGTAGACATAGCCTAATCTATTTCTTCCAATTACACTAGTAAAGTACTTCTCTTTCTTAAACAAAACTAAACTTTTTGTCTCACACTGGCAGTTTGTCACTTAATTAAATTATTATATACACTTTAACAGGAAGCTGTAAAACATCCAGATAAGCTATTACCAGCAGGACAGTGGGGTGGGAGGAGGTATTGTTTCATGATCTCTGTGTGTATATAATGTCTGCTGCAGTTTCCACGGTATGCATCCGATGAAGTGAGCTGTAGCTCACGAAAGCTCATGATCAAATAAATTGGTTAGTCTCTAAGGTGCCACAAGTACTCCTTTTCTTTTTGCGAATACAGATTAACACGGCTGTTACTCTGAAACACATCTAAAACAGAGAGCTTTTTCCAGCAAAGCTCTTTTAAACCAAAGAGTGTGGAAGTTTGCCATTTCCCATTCCCTAGCACTAACAACTTTGAGTATTCAGTCTGTTTACTCCAAAGATGTCTTTGCAAAAATACAATATATTGTGTACATACTGCATAATGATGTAAATAGAAAATCTCTCTATGAATATTTACACGAACACAGCAAATATGTTAGTGTCACTCACATATACAAAGGGATTCCATTACGAAGAGCTGTCTAATCTGGGAATTATGCCACAAAACTAGTCTTTCATCATACAATAATAAATTCAAACGAACTCAGATTAAATGTTTTATCAGACACAATAATGATTATGCCTAAAATGCAACGAACTATTCCCTAATAACTCAGATAGCAGGAATATGGGACACTTATATGCTGTATGAACAATGGGGAATCTAAATAAAGGGATGGATTAACTGATTTGGCTAAACTATGAATACCCTCCCTAAAGCCTCAATATTTAACCCCTTGAATAGGAAAGTCTTACAGGTGTGATGACGTCTGTCCAGCTTTCTACTTCCATCTCTTCAGGTTAGGACAGGATTCACAGATTGATAAAAAGGGCTCCAGACTCATTCCATAGTCTACATCTCATTCTGCCATTGCAAGTGATGTGCCTGGCCACGATCTTCTCCCCATCAAAGGCTCTGCAGCTATGCCACTGTATTGCAGACACTTACTACAGTGACAGAAGGAGTTTTTCCATCAACATAGTAAATCCACCTCCTCAAAAGGCAGTAACTAAGTCGATGGAAGAATGCTGTGTCTACAGTGGGGATTATGTCCACCTAACTACATTGCACAGGGTGTGAAATTTTTCACA